CTTATTTCCGTGTGGACTAAAGAAGAAGGAGATTCGTTAGGTCGACAAGGCTGGAACAGTCCCCCCTTTTTTCGAGTACTCCAAAAGTGTCCTTTTTTTTAAGGTAGGAAAAGTGTTCCTTTTTTGTCATTGTGATGCATTAGTGCCCCATTTCCCCTCAGATAAGTACCCCTATTCTTATCAGATAGGTGACCCTTTTCCGTTGTAATAATTGCGTCCTCCTCTTCTAAAAACTGTCCCATCTCACCGCTGATGAGTGCCCCTATTCAGGCGCGAAAATTGCCTCTTTTCACTTCTGGTAAGTGCCTTTTTACTTTGGCACGTGCTCCTTTTTCCTTTATAATAAGTGGTACATTTACTTTCATTTCTGATAAAGGCCCGTTTTCCCTGTGTAATAAACGCTTCCCCTATTTACAAATGCACCATTTTCACCTCTGATAACTACCGTTAACTAAATCTGATAGACGCCCCTTCAACTTTGACACGTGGCCTCTTTTCATTTGTGATAACTGTATCTTTCCCCTCATAATAAGTGCCACTCTTCATCTATGAGAAGTGTGAATTTTTAGGGTATGAGAAGTTTCCCTTTCCATCTGATAAATTAGATTATTTCTTTGTAATAAATACAAGCTTCCCTTCTTATGAGTGTACACAACTATTAGTGTTCCCTATTTCTACTACCACAATGGAAAGCATTGGAGCGGGGGGGGGGGGGGGGAATCCCCACAATTTAATAAGAATGCACTGTGCCTCTTTAAGTATAATCGGTTTAATCAGTTTAAATGTCATCAAATAGGTGTACCTTCTTTAGACTTCTTTATACTTCTTTAGTCATTTTATTACAAGAAACATGCTCTTTTAAGACTAAAACGTGTGCCCCTTTAAAATTCCATGACACGTTCTACTCACCGTTTTAATGCCTTTAACACAACAATATATGTCTAAGACAGATTAATTATATGATTTATGTTATAGATCAATATTTGTCGTTGATACACATTTCTAACAGATTAAAAACGCTGTCGAAAACATTTTGTTATACTCGTCGTAGAGGGCGTTTAGAATTAGACGATGTTTCCACATTTATTAGCTATATTAAATTATGATTTTCTGCATATATTTTTCATTTAATGCCTATCTGCACAAGTTTGGCCAGGGGGATTAGACCTCCCTTCTTGGTCATTGGCATGTGGTTATATCATCAACTCAGCTCTCAATTAACATAACAAAAAGGGGATCATGGGGGATCAACGGGTACCGCCTAGTAGGCATTGTTGGCTGTATAGATGCGCAAGTGGTTACAAGTACTACAGTCTTAAATCATTTGCAATAGATTGTTTCTATAAAAAGAATACGAATACACATCCCTATTGCAGTTTTGAATGTAAACAAATTAAAAAATAAAAATACTAAAATCGCTCTTTTCAAATGCAAAGGTAACCTCAGACTAATTTTAAAATGTAAAAACAACCCTTATAGCTTTCGTTATGAATTTCTCTTTCCAAAAAAAAATTAGGAATGTATGTTTTTAAAATTCCTCACAAAATATCCCTCAATATGACTAATTGACAACAGACCCTTTGAAAACTTGACAATATGGTAGCAGGGTTTTAAAAAGCATGGAAATGAACCATTTGTTGTTCTTTCTCTCTCCCTTTCTTTCTTTCTTTCTTCCTTTCTTATCATATTTTGTTTTACCCCCTCTTTTTAGAGGGGGGGGGGGGGGGGGTAGGCTTCAGTCCCAAGTCCTCCCCCACAAAAAACCGTGCTTTTTCATTGAAAGCTGTCAACGTAGAAAAGTTTCAAAATAGGTTTTTGCACGCTCGCTAAACAATTTATAACTGGGTAAGAAAAAAGAAGGCGTAATCCTAGCGCAATCATTAAGTCAGTATTGGTAAATGGTTGGCAAATGATTTTTTTTTTAATGAATGAAGAACGAAATTATGATAACGGGCTATAAATCAATACAAAGTGCACCGTCAGATATCACTTTATTAAAAGACTACACACATTTCTCGGTCGGTGCGCTCGCTTTGAAAATGTAGAAAGATATTCTGGTAGGAGCCGACAATTACCTGGAGATTATATACCCTTACCCCCTGTCCACACACAACATTTTCCGTGATTAGGCGTGATTAGCTATATTATACCGTTTCGCGATAGTTTTACGATGAAATTGTGTGTATGGACGCTCACTCACGATACGTCGTATAACGAAACGTCGTATAACGAAACGCAGGTTTGGGCGTTTTCGAACTAGAACTCAATAAAGAATCACGCCTAATCACGCCTAATCACGGAAGGTGTTGTGTGTGGACGTAACTGGTGTAACTAGTGCAACTAACTGGGCGGGGCTTAACGTGACCTCGAGCGAAAGGAGCCCAGACCTCTCATTTCCGCTTCCATTTCATGACCGCAGTAGCAAACTGCGCACCTATACGACATTTCGCTGTAGAGTTTCAGGATTACTTTCTTCTGTGTGCGGACATCCTGGAATCTATACGATGATTATTTATACGACGTTTCTTGTGTGTGGACACTCTGAAATTTATACGATGATTCTTTAGACGACGTTTCGTTATAGAGTTTCGGGATAAATTGTTGTGTGTGTGGACACGCTGTTAGTCTCTGCATATAAAACGATACAAATGACCGCTGTGGTCCTGATTTTTACAACTTTGGCACTGTAAATTAAACCACACCCCTTTTGATGTACACGTGAAGATATTCTTGGCATGACGTAATGCCTTTAAGCATGACATGGATGCAGCCATTTTCTTGATAATGTGTGTTCTACCAGGCGAAGTTGTACATGTATCATGTAAGCTTTAGATGGAAAGACTTTTTAATGCAATAACAAAACTTTTACTTTTCAATGAGGGAAAATCTTAGCTGAGAAAGTAAAAATTATATTTGGTAAACAATATATAACAGAGGAACGGTTGTAAATCGTTTATTTAAAAATACTATAGCAGGTGACAAATCTATGTAATTTATGCAAACCTTCACCCCAGAAGAGCACCAACTTATTTATGCAATTTGCGTACTGACAAGTGTAGTTCATGGATAATAGAAGGTGAATGAAATACTTAATCACCACACACATATGGGAAGGAAGCATCCATACATTGTAATGCATTTACGACTTCGCGTAGTACGTCGCGTTATCAAGAAAATGGCGATGCCTACCCTAGAAACTGTATTATTATGCGAAGAAAACACGTTTAATACCTCTCCATATACTTTGTTGGGAAATATTGTAGATTAATTTAACCGAGTATTTTGCGCTCTCGACCGCGCTCAACCACTCATTGATGTACAAAAAATTAATCATTTGGTTTTGTTTGCCAGCTAATCATGGTAATCGAGGCGCTCTCATTATCTTCTCTTTCTCTCTCTTTCCCCCTCTCTCTCTCCCCCCCCCCCCCCTCTCTCTCTCTCTCTCTCTCTCTCTCTCTCTCTCTCTCTCTCTCTCTCTCTTTCTCTCTCTCTCTCTCTCTCTCTCTCTCTTTCATTCATGTTCTCGCCATTCGCTCGTCTGTTTAATTGCCCGTCCCTCCCACGCTCTCACACTCTCTCTCTCTCTCTCTCTTCGCCTCACCCTGCAATATGCCATTTTCGTATTAAATGTAATCAACTCCATGCACATGCCTTTGTGAAGCGCCTCGATACTAATTATTCCATTCACCTATTAAAAATAAATGCATCCGAACAGTCAGAATTTAAATTGCATACATTACTTGTTGCTAGGTAGGACAAACATTATAGCTTAAAACACGTAATACATGCAATTTGCATTCTGATATTGAAATACAATTATTCGTAACAGGTTAATGAAATAATTAATATCGAGGCAATAAAGTAAAAAAAAAATAGTTACATTACGAGAATGGTCTATTCTCCCTCTCAGGAGAGATCAAAGTCATTGGTGTAGGCATATGTGGTAGGGTCCATTATGTAAGTATGGCAGACTTTCAACCACTCGAAACTGAAAGACAATAGGTACTTTTAGATTTGCACGTCGACATAATAGTGGACTGCTAGTGTGACGTCCTTTTAAGGCACTGCCAAAGGACGGCACTGTCAGTGCTTTAAAAGGACGTCACATTGCCTTAAAAGGACGTCACACGTAGCTGTCCATTATGTCGACGTGCAAATCTAAAAGTCCCTAATGTGTACCGCGCTTAGCTGTGGATGAGACTCAACATCAATCCTTTGTTGCACTCCTACACACATTACATGCATTCGCAGCTTCTGTATAGTATTGCTATAATCAAACATACATCTCTAGCTCTGTAGACAGAGAGGCTTCATTTGATTGAATAAGAGCGAATGTAAACACAGTTCCTCGTATGCTCACGAAGCCTATCGTCAAGTTGCCAGGGTCCATGTTTGCTTGCGTTAAAAACACACACTAAACCAGTCTTCTTACAAATCAATTCGATCTATGATTAATAGTTCTCTTCAAGACCATTATCTTATATCAATTAATTCATGATCATTGGAATCCACCAATACTCTTGAGGGATAATAAATATTCAATTCTAAAAGTACAATTATTACCATAATGAATCACTATGGGGGGGGGGGGGGGGGGGGGGGGGGGAAGCATCCGAGTTTATCGTGTACAGTCTACATCGGAGAGAAATCATGATCAAATAGTTAAGTTCATAATGTATACATTCCAATTTACTACAAGTGATACTGGTTGCTTATTAACAATTATTTATGCTTTCTTAGCAGTCAGGTTAAAAATAACCACCACTGTCACCACATAAACACAGCATGCTTAAAATTGACCATCTAAAGAAATTAATCCAATATATATTTAAATTGAGTGGTGTAATCATATACGCATTATCCATCACATCTCATTATGTCGGCATAATCATGTCGAGCACGTATCATGGTTATTCGAAACACATTTCAGTGGCCAATTAATCGGTTGTAATCAATCTATTATCAGTCTAAGTGGATTGAACGAGGCTAGCAGTCTAGCAAATTTGCTTTGTACCAATAAACACAATGAATGGAGTGCAATACATTACAGGAAATCTGAATGCTAAACTAGGAAATAAGTTATTGTCCAATCGACTGTCGCTATGGTAACAAGACGCTGTCATATGTTGTAAGGTGACGACGGAATCAAGCAATATGAATATCTGCACCTAGCCAGCGATTGAGGCTACTGTTCGGGCGCCAAAATCATTCATATTCTTTGAATTAATTTTTCCTTGTGCTCCTAACTGCGGTGTGTTAAGCGTCCGAACGACTCGGCCTGTTACTAACGATTAAACAGGTTCGGTTCAGCCTCTGCGTGGGAAAAGCGAGCACGGTACGTATTGGATTTCGATATGCATGTACGATCGGATTGCAGAAAATATAAGAATGTACGATTGCAGAAAAAATATGAATGTATCTGAATATGTGGCTTATTCAGTGATTCATTTCTGATGTGTTTCCATCTGTTATTAAAAGGTGGGAAATGGTTGGTGAGCTTTCTTATTCTTTTAGAGATCTTTTTATTGAATGTGACATAGTAAATCCAATATAGTATCAAGTGATCGACCGAAACAGTAATACATCCATGAATCCCATATGTTTGGAAAATAAATGTGTAACCTAATTGTTTCTTTTATTAAAATACTATCATTATAAGCATTTCCCCAATATTCAAGGCTTTAATGCTTTATATGAATACTAAAAAGGAAATTGAATACTGAGTGGCAACAAGGAATGGTAAAATTACACTTTACATTTCGTAAATGAAACAACTTATATTAAAAACTGCTCAGTTACATGTACCCATATGGTAATTTGAAAAGGGGGCACCTATGATAAGGGAATGGGGCACTTACTAGAAAGAAAAAGGGGCACTTTGACTACATAAAAAGGAGCACTTATGGAATACTTGAAAAGTGTGTGTGTGCATGTGGGGGGGGGGGGGGGACTGTGTCCCCTTGCACCCCAGGAGCTATGTTTATTTGTTTCTTTGTGATTTTCTGTCCTCACATTCTTTCTCTCTTTCCTTTTTCTTTTCTCATCCTTCCCTATTTTACACTTTTCCTATCCCCATCTATTCAAATGACACTTATTATATCATATTTCTTTGTTTGTTATTTTTAATTTATTACTTGAAATTTTTACTTTTATTTTGATGTTCGTTATTTATTCATATGACACTTTTATATCATATATCTTTATGTTTGTCATTTTTATTTGATATTTTAGCTCTTTAATTTAATTTTGTTGTTCCTTATCCATTATTTTTGACACGTTTTATACCAAATATGTTTATGTTTGTAATTCGTTTTGTGCATTAGCTTTCTCTCTGCATTTGGTTCCATATTATGCAATCCTTAAGTCATTTCTGCTATGTTCTATATCTAAGTTGGTGTCTAGATGATATGTTTTATGTTTTTAACACTAAGTCTTTTTAGGCTGATGTGAGTTTTACCGTGAAAAAAATAAATTCAATTCTGAATCAGTTCATTTATGTTAAGGGTTTATGAGCTCTCTATATTGGTAATACATCTGCATGTGCGAAAATAAAAAGACGTGATGAATAATTAATAAGACATCAATTATTTATTGTGGAAATGCCGGAGGTGTGTTACGTTGTTGTAGAAATGAGATCGGTATTTTTTCAAATACACCTTTCCGTCAATACACCAGTCACGAATCAGTATCATAACTTGTTTGTCATGTTTTGGATAGATATGAAAAAGGTGCATACTAACAATTAGGGCTTTCTGAAAATAAAAACATGTTGTTCACGAATTTCTCATGCCGTTCTTCAGTCATCACCAAATCAAAAGTAAGTGGAAATACGTTCATTTTAACAGAAATATTAACTTATAAACCTAACTCTTAAAAAATGAAAACCGAGAAAGGTTACTTTCTAAGTGAAGACCACATGAAGTTGTAAGGTCATTGAGTTGTTTATCTGGTTTAACTTTTTATTGACAGATAGTCTGGTGACGATGTCGACTGCCTTCACTCCTAGAAAAAAACAGTCGTTAACAGTTGGTAAGCTCCGTCTTCTTACTGATGTCGACCCTACTTATGGCTTCAGAAGACTTAAACTCGGAGGCAGGGAATTGGAGGATCTTCCACGGGGACTGTTTGAATTAACCGATCTTGAATATCTAACACTAAGTCCCGACCGGAGGTCTTGTTTGTTTTTTCAGCTGCCTTCTGTGCCGAAAGATATTGTACGACTTGTTAATCTGCGAATATTGTGTCTAGATACAAATGAACTGACAGATGTGCATCCTGCTTTATGTCAGTTGGTCCAGCTAGAGCGGTTGGTCCTTAGCAACAATCTCTTGACATCACTTCCGGTTGAATTCCAAGACCTCAAGCAACTAAAGAGCCTACATCTCGCCAACAACTACTTTGAGGACGTCCCAGAACCTATCTTCGCCTTGAAACAACTCGAATTCCTCGATATGAGCGACAATAAGATCATGGTGCTTTCAGATCTCATAGGTAAGCTGAACAATCTTGAGACACTCTTACTCTTCTACAACCTTCTCGACACGCTGCCAGAATCCATCGGTCGTTGCACCAGGCTCAGCAATCTGTGGCTGGGCATGAACAAACTGACTACGTTACCACGTGGTGTTGGGAGACTGGCAAGGTTGGATTGGGGTGATCACGATCACTCGTCTAACCTAGAAGGAAACCCATTGGTCTATCCACCCATTCAAGTATGCCGCAGAGGACCAATCAGCATCCACAGATATTTCAAGGAACGCAGCACCTCAAATAAGGTCGGTGCAAGCCAAAGGTCATATCTTTTATTTTTATATCAATATGAATGCCATTATAATACCATGGCTTCACTGTTAATGTTTACTTTAATTTTACAATACACTAGATAGACCAAGGGAAGACGCCCTGTATCCACTGGAAAAGATGCTATATAAGTTCAGTTATTGTTATTATCATTATTATTATTATTATTTGATCAATGGTTATAATATTTCATATGAAAGCAAATGTTACATAATCGTTTTGATTTCGTTTCCCTTTGTTTCCAGTCTGGCGCTATTCTTTTTTCTCATTTTTGTTTCAGTTTCTTTTTTGTTTGTTTTTGTCTTCCAGGTTGGGTGTAGCATAGGTTCTCCAGGATTCTATAACTGAGAGAGATATTGTGTATTGATTGGTTTTATTTAAATAGTTTTGTTAAATGATTGATATCAAGTGCCACTTGACTCACCTTTTCAGTTCGACGTTATCAATTTCTTAAAATGTTAAGGAGGTTTGTTTTTTATCGTTTTTCTTTTTATTCATAGTTTCATTGAAGCTATTAAAAGAAAACACTGCTGCCTGCTTACGAATGTATGAATAAGGGAGTTTACAGATAGCACATGGTACAAATGACCCCAAATATCCACAGATCTTTTACACATGGAGAAGTTCCACTTTGAGCATCCTAACTGCCAAAGTCCTAGATGTGCTTCATGAATACCCTTTGTTTAACCTCTTGAAAAGAATACTTCCACCTGCGTATCATAGAATGTACCGTTGGTGCATAAATGAATAATGTTACATAACTTTCATGAGCGCATATCCAGTATTCATCTCTGTGGGTTTTACCATTTTGGTACAAATTACCTTTATCTGCCCATGCGCAGATTGTATCTGTAAACTCCCTTATTAGACTGTAATGATGGATCGTGTAGATTATTATAAGGATATCAAGAGAGAGTACATAAATGATTTTGTCAAAATGCATGGTAGGATGCAGTAACGACTGTTTCATAGCTTGTCCAATTCCCAATGTCTAGAATTTTGTTTTCCTTAAGTCTCCAAGTGCTCTCTGATTAAGTGAGCGTAGAACAAATAATAAACCTCTTCACAAATAAGTCCCTTCTTTTGAATTCCTACTTTGCCCTTTTCCCTTGATGATATGCAGAATGAAGCAGTGGATGATGACGAAGATGATGACGAGGATGATGACGAGGATGATATATTATCAGATGATTCGGGAAGCTCTCTTGAAGATGCCGGGGACTACAGAACAAACGGACATTCAGAGCATATTGGGAAAAAATGTAAATATTCCAAAACACTGTATGCTTTCAGCCAATTCTATTATATTTATTATATATACCAGAAGTTTAGGAATTATTTTGGCCTTTTTCACAAAATGGAAGCATTTTTTTATCTTTAACGCGGAAATTGTCTGCCTGGTGAAAAGAAGAGTCATAGAAATGCTAACTGTTATCAATAAAACCAATCTTCTATAATTTGTTTGTGTTAACATGCATGCAATGTAAAAGAGGTGTCTAACAGTTATTTCTCCTGACATCGACCGGTCAACGCGGCTAGTATCATTCATTTTTGTCTAGAATATAGAACCGTATTAATGCCACACTGCACTACTTGCGCCCTCTTTATAGCAAACATGCATGATCGGTGACCATTGGTCGCCATTTAATGAGATAACCACCTGTCAGTGACCAAGCTGGGAGATCTAATTCCTCCTGGCCAAAATAGTGCAGAGGGGCTTTAACATAAAAAAGCACCCATTCATGTGAAATGAATTCCGCCGGCATGCTCATTTCATACTTTTATTACGAATTAATTGTATTACCATGATTCCTAACACAATAATGTTCATTTATTTCATCCATGCTTTCACATATCCATAGCGGAGTAAGTATGACAAAGCCCCCTTTTCATGAAGGAATGCGATTATGAGAATATTGGTATTGTCTTACAGATTTCTTAAAGCCCCACTGTACTACTTGTAGCTACATGCTCCCTCTATAGAGAAAACAATGCCTAATCAGTGACCATAATTGGTCCCCCATGATCCTCTTTTGTTAATGTAAATTGAGAGCTGAGTTGATGAGATAGCCACCTGTCAGTGACATTCCTGGGCGGTCTAATCCTTCCTAGCCAAACTAGTACAGATGACCTTTAATATAACCGTACATGGACGTAGTATAATAATGATTATAATGCAAAGGCGATGAAATTATATTTACACAAATTACAGATAATTAGTTTCAGCTTCTTGGCGGTTAATGAAATTATCAAAATAACACTGAAATTAGTCATTTAGCGCTGGATGTACTCCATTAGAATACGATTAAAATAATGTTCTTTTGTTATGATAAGACAAATGATTAATGACAGTAACATTTATGACGATTCGTTAGAGATTTTCAAGGTCACCGCTGAGTGACTTAAGTTGATTTATATTGAAATCGTACTTAATACAAACAACTTTGAGATAATACATCATGAGGATCACAAAAATGATATATACAGTATATTAGTTATTTTCGATCCGCTACCTTAAAGGTACTATGTCCCTTTTGCAGCCAACCTCAAATTCTGTAGAACTTTGCAGGAATTATGAATATGACATGTATGTCCTGTCTGTGAAATTTAAACGTTAGCAGTGTCCTCATAATCAAATTATGCAAGGAAACCCGTTTACTTGCTAGACTTCACTGTCAGACACTATTGAGTGACTGACTGGCTTTTTGTCTTCTTTGGCGATAACATACATGAAAAGAGTTGTAAAGGGTACATGAGCATTTGTCTACATCAATAACCCACTTCTTGTGATGGCCGAGATTAAACTGATTGAATCTTTGCGCAGCATAAAACGTATGACCATTCGGTACAATTGTCTGAAAATCAAGACTATTACTTTTGGTATAGCCCTAAAGTCGATTTGACAACTATATTATCATTATTATTAGTCGTTATTTTCCCACTTGAAGACATTTTCAAGCCCCACTTTTTAGGGAAGTTCTAAATTAGTATTATCTTTCAAATGCAGTTGGAATTTAACTTTTTCATTTTTTGACCTGCAAATGGGATATAGTACCTTTAAATGTGTAGTATCCTTTTGCATGTACAGGTAACAGCAGTAGTGGATGTAAAGGTTTAATAGGGCGCCCTCACCATCGATTATTTTGGCAAATCCCGGTTTACACACGGGTTTCAAAGCACCCATCCATTGCGGCAATTCCTTTTTATGAATGATTTTTTTTTCTTCATTGGATTTATATGGTGTGCAATATATCATTTATATAATTAGTTTGTAGATCCGTGTGTTGATTTCATTTCTTATTAATGTTTTTCGATATTATTTTGTTTGTTTCATTACCATCTAAATTTGTCCCTCTCTTCCACTCTCAATCCCCTTCTCTACCTCTCTCTTCTCTTTATCGAAGTCCTCTGTCTCTGTCTGTCTGCCTGTATGTCTGTCTCTTTCTATCTCTCTCTCTCTCTCTCGCTCCCTATCTATCTTTATCTTTCACTTTCTATCTCTCTCTCTCTCTCTCTCTCTCTCTCTCAATATCTACTTTCTCCCTCTCCTTCTCTCACCTTCTCTCTCTCTCTCTCTCTCTTCAACCCCTACCCGTTTCCATTTTTAATAATCTGTTTCCACTTCTCTTGTTATCATTATGTGACCAGTTGCTCTTTTTATTTTCCTCATAGCAACCAAACACGCTGTATGACGTGCTCACGCATCACTCTCGTGATTATTCAATTCATCTCTATTGATTAAACCACAGACAGTGGGTATTCATACCAACCCACTATCATCGGCATATTGATCAACGTTTTTAATATCAATCGTCCGTTAAAACTAGCTTTTTAATTCTTTCATTTTCATTCTGTCATCTCATGTCTAAAATTCTGCTTGACAACATGTGTATACATGCATCCATGACAACGTCCTGCCTAGTTTCCAGGTGTAGCCTTTTTCAATCGGATATTTTATAAATAAAATTTAGTGTTACTATCATAATCTTGAGTTCCGGTGATGGTAAATATTTGCATGGTATGTTTAATGAGCACTACAATAATGTATAAGTAAGGTTTTATGGTAGGTAATTGGCATGTAATTAGCAGTTTAAAGGAAGCCCTGGCTCAATCGCGATTAAAATTTGCCCTTGTTTCATATGCTCAGGTATTGGTTAAACGATTTGGTTTATTAGTAAATGTACTCAGTCGCCTTGCTCCTAGGTGATAAAATTCAAGTTAACTTATTGGTTTTCATATGATTTGTGTGTTCTTTGTTTCAGTATACTAAGACATGCTCTAAAAGCAGACGACCAGGTAACTCCAGAGAAGCCAGTCAATGACACATCACCAAGGCAACAGCCACGCCCTGATAACCACCCTGGAAGAACACGACAATATGAGCCATTGCTGAAGACGAATGGATCACACGAGTAATTCGGTACACCATTGACACACGTGTTAATTCTTATGTTGCCAAGGAGATTGGTAGTCTATGGGCATTGTGTGTATTATTTGGTACATATTTGCACCTCTGGCACTACAAGAGTTAAATAGAAGAGAGAGAGAGAGAGAGAGAGAGAGAGAGAGAGAGAGAGAGATGATATATGGCTACTTAAAGAGAAGGTTGCGTCTTGGGGAGAGGTGACAAATAATTTTGAGCGTTATCATTTTTATTATGCAAGTGTGGAAGAACATTTTAAAGAAAAGTTCCGTGAAAAGCATGGCTCTTCAAATGCCTTCATATGCTAAATATGACGAGTAACTTTAAAAAAAATGAGGCCCGATGTTTACGCCGCCACGTGTTTGTGTAGTCCCATATACATCTGTATGTGCACAGTGCTTGTTCCTTTACCAAGACTAGGCAAAATTTCCTTTCATTTTGATGACTCCAGAACCTTGCAGTACACACCAATACTTATATGCTACATGATCAACTCACAATGCAATCGTATGACCAGAACTCAACTTTAGTAGTTGAAGTAGTAGTAGTAGTAGTAGTAGTAGTAGAAGTACCTGTAGTAGTAATTACCATTTTAATGATTATTCATATTATTATATTATTATTACTAGTATTATCATTGTTATCATTATTATTATTATTAATATTTATTGATATCATTAGTATTATTATTAGTATTATTATCATTGTTATTATTATAATCATCATTAGTATTATTATCATTGTTATTATTATAATCATCATTAGTATTACTACTACTACTATTGTTATCACTATTGTAATTATTATTACTATTCATTACATGAAAATACAATAAGGTGTCTTTGCTTCAGCGTTGGGGTGAAATAGCGTGGCTTCCAATTTTTGTTATAGATTTACAGGCAACAATTACTCGATTTCATACGCTCAGCTATCTTTACATGAAGGCCTCGTACCAAAGCTTTCAAAGTGATTTCATTGGATAAACGTAGACGGCGCTCTTTATTCCTTGTTAACAGACGGTGCGTTTATTGACCAAATTTTTGGCTAGGATCAGGTTTCTCAAACGTCTTTCCGGCAAATTTAGAAGGTGATAAACGCAACGCCTTTTTCAAAGGTCTTTAGATATGGGCATATCTAAAGACGCATAAAGGTGTGTTTTGAATGTGACATACAGCCAGAATCACGTTTCTGAGAGATGATAAACGCAAAGCTGTTTTGAACCCCACATACAAATCGGACCACCCAGGTTAATTTCCGGTTCGGAGGCTAGCGCGCACCATGTCTTGTGTATAAGCATGTGTGTGTGTGTAGTTGACCTCCGAGAAACTGTCTGCTTCCCGGGTCAAAACAGCTGCGCAGACACAAGGCCTTTATTTTAAATCGTGAAGAGAAGATAAACACGACATCCCGCAAATCACTTTCGTATAGTGGGGTTCAATAGTGGGGTATGATAATGGGGTACGATATGTACATATCTAGTGGCAAGACCCAATAAACGCACCCAGAGAGAGTGCAAAATATCTTTAGGGGTGCTGTGAGAAAAACTAAGTTATTTACACAAAAATTAGACAAAAGTGTTAAAAACCGCTCTGTATTTGCATGAGGAGATAACATGTTAAAGAAAATAATGTGTCTTTCTTTCTTACTCGCTCCGCTTGCTCGCAACATTTCAAACCAGGATGATTTCAAAAGTGCCTAAACACCTGTACATTTGCCCATTCAACGAGGTGCCTGAGTATTCTATTTGACTGCGATGAGCCCGAATATTCATGCAACAAAGTGCCCAAGTGTATCCGATATTGTGTTCTACATGTGTATAGAATGTATATATTTACCGCGCGCCTTCCCTATACTTTCTCGCAATATTTAGAAACAGGAATTTTTGGGCAACGTGATCCCCGAATTTCTGCACCTGGAAAAAGGCTGAACGAATGAGTTCGTTGATAACGCCATCTTCGGCGACTTGAAGCAAGTGTAGGGGATATTGTACACAGTAGAGATAACATAATTATAAGAACCGGCCAGATTCTGGGCTATGAACTCCCTTCCCAAGAAAAAAGATGATACAAATGTGCTTTGGAAATTTAATAGAATTATCAGTTTAGTGTGAGTAGTGTGAGTGTACGTGCATGAGGGTACCAAATGTTTGTTTTCTCAATTTTAACCATGACTAACATACTAGCGTCAGTATGATGTATAGGCCCAGAGCAGTTCATTTCCAATATAGAAAGATGTGTCCCAAGTCTGAAATAGTCCAATTTTTTAAATTACATTTTCCTCAATGTGAACTACATTGATTTAAAAAAAAAAAAAAAAAAGCAACGAGTATTCTTCATTTGTGCCTAAAATAAATAATATGATAATGACGTATGGAATGCATGTTTCCTTTTTTGGCATGGTGAGTCTTCTTGATCTTTGTGGGTAATTTGACGGCGTCTGGAGCAATGATAATTATGAGCATGTCATGAATGAGGTGCAAGCGTCAAAATAGGGAGCATATAAATACAAGAAGGCGCGTGTGTACGTATGTGTGTGAGGGAGACAGAGAGAGAGAAAGAGATAGAGAGAGAGAGAGAGAGAGAGAGGGAGAGGGAGAGATAGAGAGAGAGAGAGAGTGAAGAGAGAGAGAGAGAGAGAGAGGGGGGGGGGGGAGAGAGAGTGAAGAGAGAGAGAGAGAGAGAGAGAGAGAGAGAGAGGGGAGAGATAGATAGAGAGAGAGAGAGAGAGAGAGAGAGAGAGAGAGAGAGAGAGAGAGAGAGAGAGGGGGGCCAGAAATTGTATATATGCGGCAATTTTGTTTGGTTGGGGGGGGGGGGGGATCTCTTCTGATGGTTTGAATGTCTTGAGTAAGTTGGAAATAGCATATTGTTATGGGTTCTCATAACAAACAACCAAACAAACAAACAAACAAACAAACACAAAAACAAACAAACAATACCGTAAACATCTAGCACGTCATAGTTTTGAATCATTATATTTCAGCCTATATTGAATTGTTGGGGGGAGATGTTCGCCCCTAGATAACAAAGACATTACCGATTCGGCCAAGCTGATAGTGATGCTCCGATATTGTCCCTTTTCGTTCAAAGTTTGAGTCTGCCTCTGTGATTTGTTTCTGCTTTCAGTCAGAGGTACTCGCTAGATCATTTCGATTTTCCTTGGATCATAATCTTCTAAACATACTTGATAGAAAAATAAGCAAATCGCAAAGAATTAAATCAAATTTTTTATCTAAAATGTAATTTATTTTTTTGATATTTTTAACCGGTTTTGTGAAGAGGATACAGCAATACCCGACAATACATAGTAAAGCGCCAGGAAGTAAAGCAACACACTGCGTACATCAGTTTTAAGCTGAACTGGTAATCAAAATTCAAATAATCATTTTGTGATATTCAAATACGCATTTCGGATTGATATCTCGTTTAGATTGTCACAATATCTTCAAAACTGGTCACAGTCGGTTTGCACAGCTGCAAAAAGGTTTTACAACAAATTCTCTTGATGTCAAATCATGGAACAAACACAAATGGTCACATTCATTCCGTCACCAAAAAATATGATAAGATTTTCCTTCTATAAATAATTGGATGGGATTCATGTTTAGTATCACACACTTTATCGGAGCTGGGTGAACATTTACGACTCGTAAATGAGGTTCTTCAACCCGTCCTATCGCACTGCCATGTACCTCTGCAACTCACATCAAAGGAGATATATCATCCCAATACCAATACCATCTTAGGCTAGGCTACCGAGCCTTTCACTTCTCAATGAAAACATAGCGAATTAAGTCATGAATTATCCAGACAATAATCGGCCATGACAATCAATGACATTTCGTAGAAACGGTTTTCAAGACACCGCTTGAAAATGTATGCAAACTATTGATGAAAGTAAATGGTACGAAAGACTCATTTAGGGGAAAGAGGGACGCAACCGGCACTAGACACTACCTTTTGAATATAAATTATTACTAGCATACATAGAGAGAGAGAGAGAGAGAGAGAGAGAGAGAGAGAGAGAGAGAGAGAGGGGGGGGGGTACAACAATAGTCCCCCATCGATTTCAATTCATGAAAACATTGAGAGTCGTGGTCTGTACAAATTGTTGATTGGGGGCAGCTCCAGACGCTCACCCTATACCTCACCACCCCTCCCTAATCTTGTCGTAGTGATTTTGTCTGAACTAAGAGACTGTCGACTGTACCTTATATGATCCTTACTGACACAGCCACGGATTGTTGTTGTTGTTGTTGTTGTTTTTTAGGTAAATAGTCGTTTATTATACAGGAGTGAATATTAACGTCATATTGACAAAGCTACATGTAGGCTCTCCTGAAGACTTTATGGAATTGCGTTTTCAAAAGTGTCAAATTCGAGTCTGCGCTTATTCGAGACTATGCCCTCCAACCATGATCAAATCCTCTGTTATCAGAGTATCGCTATACAAACAACCCCGGGCTGAAATGTGTCACTTCCAATTGCCTTTGTTTATCGTTTTTCACACTTCTTCCCCTCCTCCTCAATTATTCCAATCAACATCACACTGGTTGTTACGTAACAAAGGCGATGATGCGTTGTTTGAGTGACAACCCGTCAATGTCTTGGGGTTGACCGCTCGTCTACTATGGTAGACGAAATGGAAATTAGATAAACTTGGACCGACTGGAAATTAGACCAAATGAGTGATAGACGAAATGGGAATTACACTTACTGGAGATAAGACCACATGGAAATAATGCTCAAAGATCAAATGATAAGTTTACGAAATTATCATAAGATCATAGTTTGTAAAGCGCTTAGAGAGATTTGAATTAAGCGCTTTATGAAAATTAAATATTATTATTAAATATTATTATTATTATGCGGGTAGTAGACCAAACCGCAATTCACCTACCGCTCTTAGTTTGTCTCCAAGTACACTACGTCATATTGATGTTTGATTATGATTTTGAAATAAGATGAATCTCCATGGTAACGATATCCATTAGAATTTCGTTTGTTCTCTATACA